GGATCAACCTTTGGAAGGCAAGACCGACAGACTTGTTTCAGCTCTATCTCTGTTTCTAGTGACAGTGAAGTTTTGTTATGGCATTATCGGTTAGGACATCCTAGCTTTCAATATTTAAAGCATCTATTTCCCAAGTTATTCATGAATAAAAATCATTCGTGTTTTAAGTGTGAATCTTGTGAATTAGAAAAACATCATCGTGCTGTTTTTCCGTCCCAACCATATAAAAAATCAAAAYCATTTACCATGATTCACAGTGATGTTTGGGGTCTTTCTAGAGTAACAACTCTTTCTGGAAAGCATTGGTTCATTACTTCTATTGATGATCATACTAGGGTCACTTGGGTTTTCCTTTTAAAAGAGAAATCAGATGCTGAAACTGTGTTTAAAACTTTCTATAACATGGTTTAAACACAATTTCAGACTCAGATTAAAATTTTTTGAAGTGATAATGGAAATGAATTTTTTAACAATATGTTAGGGAATATTTTTGCTGAGAAAGGAATTGTACACCAAAGTTCGTGTAATAATACACCTCAACAAAATGGGGTGGCTGAAAGGAAAAACAAACATCTCCTTGAAGTTGCTAGAGCCCTAAGTTTTCAAACTAAGTTTCCTAAGTATCTTTGGGGAGAAGCCGCTTTAACAGCCACTTATTTGATTAACAGACTGCCTACACAAATGTTGGATTTTAAAACACCCATACAGGTTTTAATTGACTGTTTTCCAAACTCTCAGCTAGTGACAAACATTCCCTTAAAAATTTTTGGAAGTGTGGCCTTTGTTCATAACCATGATCCTAAACGTTCAAAGCTTGATCCCACTAATCAGAGAGGTTACAAATGCTTTAATCCAGTTTTGAAAAGGATGTTTGTGATTATGGATGTCGCATTCTTTAAAGGAACCTCATACTACAAACACTCCCATCTTCAGGGGGAAAGCAACACTAGTAAGATGGTCTTTTAGATGGTTTTGATTTAATATTTGAATTTGTCCATAATGATGTTCCTCACAACCAGTCACCGAAAGAAAGTGAGGCAGAAAATACAAAATCAGTGGAAACAAATGAATTAAATATTGAAAATGAACAACCTTCGGTGATGCCATCTCAAAATAAAAAAGCTAAAACAATAGAGATGCGTG